GATGAAAAATGGCATACTTGTGGCGAGAACAGCATAAAGGTGATCTTCATCCCTGACCACACATTGTTTCCTGATGATCTCACATTGCCCATGATAATTGATGGAAGAGATGATTTAAATTTCTTCTTCTCTCTTCTCCTTGCTCCTGCTCTGCTCTGGCGCCTCCTTTTTAACTCAGCTGGTACTTGCAGATGTAGTAGAAGTATTATGTCAGCTTTAGAGATGTTAAAGAGCTGCTCCTGGTTGAAAAAAAAAAAACATCTTGCTGTTGTTGCTGTGTTTACGCATCATAAAAAGTATCAAAAAAGGAGAAAAATATTAATGAAAATCCCTCAAGTTTCACAGCATTCATCAAAAGAGACAAAAAACATCTATAGAAGAAACTCTGATCCAACAATAGAAGGATAAGACTGTCTTTATCTCATCAAGCTGTTCCTAAAGGGTATGAATAATATAACCCACAAAGTTATCAAACTATTGGTGCTTATGTTATTATGTTGTTCTCCAATAAATAACTTTTTTTCTAAAATTAATTCTCTGTAGCCTTCCACTATCAGAATTGCTGAAGTGTTAAATTCAATTCAACTATTTTCAGTTTTATTTAAGAAAAGTTTCTTAAAACATTAAATATTTTATTTCTTACTGCATTGCTGTCAAAAAAGGTCATTGATGGTGTTTTCCTTGCTTGAGTTGTAAATGTGTTATTGCTACAGTATGTCAGACTGTTGGGTAAATCCAGCAGTCATTCAACTTTTATTGAATAAAAACTGAGAAACAGCCTATGGAAGCCTTTACACATGCAAACACCCAGCTTATCTTTTAGTCCACTGGGCACCATTTGAGGTCTTAGAAAATTGCTAGTTAGATATTAATACGTTGATTAAATCAAGACCAATTTACCCAGTTAATACAATCCCCCAGACATTACACTTCTACTCCGTCTGTTTTTTTTCTACTGTTTTGACAGTTTTGAAAGATAAACAATAATATACACCCAGAGTCTCTTTCTTATCCTCAAAGACCTGCTTTTAGCAAAAAGTTCAAGAAATAAAGAACAGCCCTTAGTCTCGATTTGCTGTTTAATCATAAGCCGACACCTAGCAGGATGTTTGGATAACACAGAGCTGATTATGTGTTTAAGCAGTTTGATTATCTCTAATCTATACATTTAAGATTAGGACCCACTGAACTGGATGAGAACAGGAATAAAGGTAGAAAAAAAACAGACAATGGATGAGGAATGAAGAGAGTTGGAAGAGAAAACATGAAAGGTGTGGAAATCAGCCTTTCATTAGAACATAAACACGAGAGGGGTGAGAGGTAGAAATAGTTAGGGGACCTTATCTCATCCGAACATCTTTTGAATATTTCATTAGAGCCAAGATACTCTGTTTAGCAAGGGTTGACTGAGGCTGAAAAACACACCCAAGACTTCCTGCTGAATACATGTCTGGATTTCTGCAAAAATACTAAGAGCCTTGTCCTGATATCTCATAATGTCATTAATCTTTTACATCACTTTTTTAATGCTCATCTCATCTCTCCAGAAAATGCTTCCTCAGATTCAGAAAATGTCTTTTTACCAGATAGTTTTTTACATATCCATAAACATATTTGCTTTGGTAATGAGGTACTATACACAGGGAAGTAAACTGTTTACCACAATAAATATGGGGATATAAAATTTTAAATAAACAAATGCAAGTTGTACAGTAAAAGCACCATGGTGAGTTAACTACAACAAAAGTGCAAAATTAAAATAAATATCCGTGGCCTATTAATACAGCTAGTAGCAGAAGATAAGACGCTGTTTATGCGCCTGGATGCTCTGGTCCTGGTTGGATGCAACCTCTTTCCACAGGAGAGTCTGAAACATTGTGTCAAGGGTGGAAAGGGTCAGCTGTAGCCTTACCTGATTCCCTCTGGGTTCTGGAGGTGTAAACGTCATGAAGGGAAGGTAGTTGCAGCCAATCACCCTTTCTGCAGAACAAAAGATATGTCTGCTCTAGTCCCTGGAGATTGCAGCAGCATGGCGATGGAGGAGTGACTCAATGATGGCAAAGTAGAAGTTCACCATCATTGTCTTTGCAGGAAGTACATCATTTGCTGTGTGTTCTTGATGAGCAAGTTAATTCTCAGCTTCCACTTGAGGTCCTTAGTTATGGCAGTGCCCAAGAATTGGAAGGAGTCCATAGGGGTGACAGTAGACTCATACAGGTTAAAGGAAGACGGTAGGGATGCATTTTTTTTTTAGATCTGTATAAAAATAGAAAAGTAAAAAGAGAGGGGGTAGAAAGAGAGAGCAAAGAAGAGAAGAAAAAAAGGACAAAATAGAAAACACAGAAAGAACAGAATAACTCATAGGAGTCTGTCTCTACTCTTGAAGAAAAAAAAAGAAAAAACAACAGATGCTGAGATAGACAAATAAGACCCTGGTGTCTGGAGCCCTAGAGGCTATGGTGCTGAAAGCACAACGAGTTGCAACAACAAGCCCACAAGCTCCACCTGCAGCCTGTCAAGCCCAAGGCAGACCCAGTTTTTGGACAACAAATCCAAGGCCTAAGGGTCACCATCCTTAGACCAAAAAGGGCCAGGGGGCCCAGGCACATCACAGCAGCCACCTGGAAAGAGACAGCACCCAACAAAGCAACAAGCCCTGCAGAGGGGGACCCAACAATGCACCAGAAATTATTTTTTCATTTTGATCTTAAATTTCAAACATTTTTATAGTTTTTATAATCACTTTCTGTCTTGACTATGTTTATTTTCCTCTAGAAGAAACCATGATCAAATATGAAAAATTATGTGATGACGTGGGTGACAGTAGGTACAGTAGTAGTACAAGACTAGGCTTGACAGGTCGATATACTGGCCTATGCCTATAAAAAAACAGCAGTAGATCAGGTATTGCAGGCTAACAAAGACCTCAATGATTCCCCATTACCAAGGGGTGGACCTGTTCTTCCAGTTAATTTTTCATGTTTTCTAAGTCATGACAAGGCTTTGCTGGACTACTCTACAAAGCTTGGAACTCAATGCTAATCCAGACATTTTGAATTGAAAAAGCTTACTGGATGGGAAGCAAAACGTCTTCAAACTTGGAAAACACAGTCCTGTGGTTTGTTATTTAACTTTTTTGGAAGTTGGTAAATTTTCCCCAACAACTTTAAAATCCTTTTTTACCACACAGAACCAAACAAAGGATAATGTTGACTGCACAACTACTTGTTAGTGAATGATAGTGATGAAAATCTGTTGCCGTTTTATGCCAGGAAAGGGTTAATTTGTTCCAATGAGATGAGGAAATGAGATCATGTGACCAGAGTAAAACAGAAAGTAAAAGGAGCACAGTACATTTCCTTTTCATATACGTCTCAGACATTTACGGAAGCCTTCGTATGGCAGGTAATTTCTCTTTCAGAAGTTTAAAGTATTGTTTTTATTTCTTTTAATATTTATTTTCCGTTTCTTTCTTCTAGAAATGGCTTCTACCACAAGTCTAATGACTGATGATAACTTCTGTTGCTCCATCTGTCTGGATGTGTTTACTAAACCTGTATCAATTCCTTGTGGGCACACCTTTTGTAATAACTGTATCGCAAAAACCTGGGAAACAGTTAAGACTTTATATGAGTGTCCACTATGCAAAGAGACCTATTACCCTAAGCCAATGCTCCGGGTCAACATTTTAATCGCTGAGATGGCAGAAACGTTTAAAAAGAAAGTGAAAAAGAAGGCATCTTCACCCCTTAAAGATGAAGGAATTGAAAAAATGCTATGCAATCTGTGCACAGAGCCAAAGTCCACTGCTGCAAAGTTCTGTTTAGTGTGCTTTATGCCATTCTGTGAAAAACACCTTGAACCCCATCTAACATTACCCGTCTTACAGAGACACAAACTCATCCAGCCAGCTAATAACCTGCTGAACAGGATATGCAAGAGTCACGGTGAACCTCTCGAGCTCTTTTGTTGCGTGGATCAAATGTTTCTTTGTTTGTCCTGCAAAACGCAAGACCATAAAACACACAAAGTAGTTACTTTAGTAGAGGAAGCAATGGTTAGAAAGAAAAAACTGGAGAAAGAAAGAAAATGTGCTGATCAAATGATAGAGGCACATCAACAGAAAATTCTTCACATTCAATGTTCACTGGATGAAAGCAGGAATAATGCAGATGAAGCACTTTCATGCAAAGACCTTGTGGTGGCTACTCTTGTGCGTTACATTCAGAGAAGTCAAACTGAGCTCACCGAGGTGATCAATACAAAGCTGCAAGGGATTGAAAAAGAGGGGAAAGATCTCATTACAGAACTTGATGCAGACATTGTAAAACTTAAAGTGAAAAATGAACACATTTCTAATGCTTTACTCTCAGATGATGACTTTACAATTTTAGAGAACTCCCTCGCTGTTACATTATCTTCACCCACAGCAAAGGATTGGTCTGATCTGAAACTTAAAACTGACCAGTTTGCAATTCAAGGAGCCATGGCCAAGCTGCAGATGTCAGTCACAAGTACAATAAATACACTGTGTGATCCTACCTTTAGAGAAAAGCAGCAGTATGCTGTAGATGTGATTTTTGATCCTGACACAGCACACCCTTTATTGAATGTTTCTGAAGATGGGAAGCAGGTTGCCACTGGAAACCAAAAGAAGAATGTCAAAAACAAGCCAGAGAGGTTCGATCAAGTCCTCAACATTCTGGCAAAACAAGGTTTCTCCTCTGGAAAATTCTACTACGAGGTTCAGGTGAAAGGTAAAACTCAGTGGGATCTAGGAGTGGTGAGTGAGTCCATCAACAGGAAAGGGGATATCAGATTGAGCCCAAAGAACGGATACTGGACCATTTGGCTTAGGAATGGAAACAAGCTCACAGCCAATACTGGCCCTGCTGTAAACTTGGCAGTGAGACAGATACCTGAAAAGGTTGGAGTTTTTGTAGACTTTGACCTGGGTGAAGTTACCTTTTATGATGTGGATGCAAGGGCAGTCATCTATTCCTTCACTGAAAACAACTTTAGCAAAAGGCTCTTTCCATTTTTCAGTCCCTGCGACAATGACAGAGGTAAAAATTCAGCTGCTTTGATCATCACTCCTGTCACAACCAACCACTGAAAGACTGTTTAATTTGGGGAGGAACATTCTATCAGTTTACAATACTAAAGCCAATGTTTTCATCACCATAATTCATTAGCAGGACTCATAATGCTATAATTTGATGCCAGTATTTGAAGTAATGTTTATTTTTCCTGTTAAGACCTCAGAAAATTATTTGTAATTATATATTGCCTGGAAAAGGGGACATTATAGTTTAATTTTGACATATTAGGAAATAAAATAATTAAAATCAAACAGCACAACAACATAAAAAGATATCTAATATCTTTTGATTAATGTCATTAACATGGCCGAAATGGGAATTTGCTATTATGAGAAATGGCTTCACAAACCTATCAGATACAAAAGTTGTATTTGTTTTTATTAGTATTTTGTTATATAGCACTGTACTTATTTATATCATAGGAAAAAAATTAACACAAGCTGTAGATGCAGCTGCTAATGAAATGAAACTTGATAACCCTTTTGGATCACTGACATGTGGGAGCAAGATACATTTCTAATGTATAAAAGCTAAAATAAATAAATCTTTTATTCAATGACTGGGAGTTATTTTTCTGTATAATGAATTAAAAATTTGCATTCTGGGATGTTTAATTAAAATAGTCTGCAAAGAAGTGAGCAAGTGTGAAGTAATAACTGCACATATTGCATTTTTTATAACAATATATATATTTCTCTGCCTTTGCAACATAAATACAACAATTTTAAGTCCTGCTACATTCAAGTCATTTAGTAACAATTCTTTTTTTATTGTCACCTATGTGTCACCCTGAAGAGTGCAAACACAAGCTTGAGAAACAACACTTCTATTTTTATCAAACAGATTTAGAGAAAATCACATTCTTCATCTTACATAAATTGTATAGTTAATTAATAATTTAGATGCTTGCACTGTAATTTATGTGACAAAGCAGAACTAAAACTTTGTTAGTATTTGCTCAACAAATATTTTTATAGCAAAACAGGATATCAAACATTTCCATACAGTATAATCTGCACTAAAAAGGTAAACATGTTAAAAACTTTACTAAATATGTAGCAAAATCGATATTGAATAAAATGATAGATTACTGAAATTAAAAAACGCAAAAAAAAAAAATTTGTATAAACGTTTTTACACTGACATCCTTAACAGAAATTGGCCATCGAGTAATGTGTAAAATACTGCCGCTATGGTTGAGATAGTCCTCGCTGCAGTATATGATGTCCAGGTTATCTTGCAACTTTTGTAGCTGTAATGGGATTCTCCTCTGTGAGGCTGCACCTGAATGGAGGACCAGGGGTTTCACTAAAAAATAAAAACAACTATTAATAATGAAAAATCAGATAAATGGGAATTCAAAAACTGTTTTCTAAATGTACATTTTCAATTAAAATGCTAAAGAAATGTATTTATTAATTGAATATTAAGTTCAGAAATTTGAAATATTCTTTTTAAATATTCTAAATGGAGATTGAAATCAGATCATAAATACTTTTCCTAATCATATGAAATAACCTGTTTATTTAGTAATCTTTCACTCAGAAGATGCATTTAATTTCACTAGTATTATGCAGCTGGGCATTAATTACTTTCATTTGGTAATCAATAAATAAATATTTTTCTTGTTCTACAGAACAGTTAAGAATACATAGTCTAAAAAGAAACAAGCTTAAAGTAATACATGTTAGTGATTATTTCATGATCATAAGCTAGAGCACCGGTATATTTCATTCATTTTTTTTACATAAACTGGCAAGATTGGCAAGGAAAAAGGTAATGCACGAAGGACTGTAGACTGAGGGAGCTGAAGAATAACTGTATTAAAACGGTTGCAGATTTTGTCCGTGTTGGGCTCCTGTTCCTTAAGGGCTCATTATGGTTGACACATGGATATTCTGCATGGGAAATATGCCGCATATCACATCATTCGCAGGATTTGTACTCTGACAGCATGCTGACAACACCACACCACGCAGGGAAGTAGAAAACATCCATTTACAACTTTGTGAGAGACTTTTCATGCTTCTTCAACAGTTATTGCTTTCTTGGAGTTTTTTCACAATCTGTTGATAGTGGTGGTATTTATGAGATAAATCACGGGATGTCTCTAGATGTACACCTATGAACCATCACCAGCAGGGGCTGTTGCCCGTGCAGCATGTTATCCATCAAAATTTAGCAGCGCAGACCATGCAGAAGCGTGAAGCATAAACCAAGCTTTATTCTACAGAACTGCGGAGGAGTTGATGGATCATCTGCACGGTGGAGGAGTACGATTTTAACCGTATTTGGTGACCAGGTCGGAGGAGCTCAGCTCAGTTAGGTTAAAGCTTGTATTGCCCTCTCTGTAAAGCATTTGCATGGAAGGATCCAGCCTTCCCTGCATTCTGCAGGGCCTTTTCTAAATATGTGTGCTTATGTGTTCTCGTGTGCTCATGAAACGTCATCAGCCTCAGCCCCATTACTGTTCCAATTCACAAGAACCCTGCCAGCCTTCAGAGTTTTTGCTGGAGTCTCAACATCACAAAACCCTATAGAACTGATTTTTATGGTTCAAAAAGCATTATCAAGAGCCTTACAGAATTTGCTCCAATGCTAAAAAAAAAATCTTGAAGGGGCTTATTTTTAAGGTGAAGCAGATACCAATCTATGGTCTCTGAATTCAAATGAAGGCAGCAACCCCAGCAATTCTCTCTCAAAAGGTATTCATACAAAAACCAGCATTGACTGAGCTTCTTCTTCAGTCCCCTCTCTTACACAGTGAATTCTGATGAGGTCCCTTCTCATGCAGCTCTCTTGATATATTATTTTTTACTGCAAGGTGGCTTTGTAACTCCAGAGGTTCCACCATTGCATCTTCAATGTTTTGAATGTGATCCTCTGCTTCCCCTATGAAGCAGCTTCGCTTCATCCATTCTGTTGATCTTTTTTATGTCAGTCTGAATTTCTTTAAGGCCCTCCCACTTTACTTTTATTTTAAGACTTTTATTTCTCACAGCACAGTTTTCAGATCTGCCATCTTATCCAGCAATCTCTGTCTAGCTGGCTCCATTGATCTGTCTTCTTTTAATGTTAGTTGGGTTGCTAATTCTGATTGCTTGCCTGTGTCAGCTATGGTTTCTACTGAATTATTTCCTGATCCTCTTAATTTCACCTTGTCATGATCTTTCTATATATGTTTACTTTTCACTCTAACAATTCTGGTCTTCTAGTGGGTACTTTAGCCCTTTAGGTTAGTCAAGGAGCTGCTCCTATATGTTGCTTCTATGACACATGCTTTCCAAGAAGTCCTGTACATGTCTTTAAGGACTGAAAGTCCTACTGACATATTTCTAATAACTCTTTTTTCCATAATAGATATTTTTATGTTAACTGAAGAGCAACTCTTGGGTCCCTTTATCATGCAGGGTTTCGAAAATAGGGATAACCATGATTCAGCCTTAAGGGCTGGTTATACTGCCGCAGCAGTGTGTCACAGTGAGCTTGTTGCAGATATTTTGATTTGTGCCCAATAATGAAGCATAATCTGCACTTTGTTATTCCATGCCACAACACAAGAGGGACAATCACGAACTAGCTGTGGGTCTAGATATGACCGAGGTGGTGAGGAAGTGGGGGCAAGTTTGTGCGACAATGGAGGGACTTGAGGGCGAAAAACAACGAGGATCCAGGTGGAAAAGGTTCCCAGCATTCTCGCACACCTCACTCTTCATGGTCCAACTTCACGAGTCGTTTTCCACAACAGTGGTCATACAAACAAAACAAGCTGGTAAGGTACCAAAAAGGAAATACGTATAATGTAAAGATGATATAGATTTGACCAATCAGAGGCCTTCTGTCTGCTCTCACCTACAATTTTCGAGAGGTGCACCAAATTGTCTGCGGAAGGGGCGGGGCATATCTGCGTTCACTGCGACACACATGCAGACTACCTGGTTTGTGAGTATAAATCAGCCTTTACTATGAAAACCCTACTCATAGGCTCCCACTAAGGCTGCATTAATCTGGGACATTAAATTGTCTTGATGAATTATATTGTGAGAAGTAGTACATTGTTTGTGAAGATGTTTCACTGCAGGTATGCATACCCTTTGTCCAACAGAAGTTGCATCTAATGAGTTGCCAAATCTAATGAGATAAATTGATAAATTATGATCCCTTTACAATCCCTTTACAATGATTAATGATTCAGGGCTCCATCAGAGCATTTGTGAGCCAAAGGATCTGACTGAAGCTGAAGATGACCCGAGGGTCAACAGCATCAGACTTTCTTGGCCAATAAATCCTCCAGCTCCAGCTGTTCTCCTCCTGGGAATGACTTCAAATTAGCAAACACTAACAGCTCAGGGAAACTGTAGTCATAGACTGGGAAAAAACTAACCATCTCTAATCATTGATCTGCCACTACTGGGCCAAAGTCATTAGCCTGGTGAAAAAATTGGTCTTGTGAATTTACATGATACATGGGCTAATTCTAATCTTCTGGCTGGAGCTGTGTTAAACCGGCACCTCTCATAAATGTACTATTTAAAGTGCAGAAATGTGTGACGATAATGTAAAAGCAAAGGGCAGCAATATGACTCGAAGATTTTGACAGAAATATAAAACATGTTTCCAGGATAGTAAAAGCAAATATGTTCAAACTGATTGAAGATCATCTGCATTTTCAAGCTGGCCTGAGTTATGTGCACTCTGTTATCTTATTACATTTATCCTACTGAAGAGAAGGCAGGCAGGAGGCTTGTACCAGAAACAAGACTTTCAACAAAACTTCTTAAAAAACATCTGACAAGGTAACAGAAACATAATGGTTTTATTATTCACAAAGCAGCCAGTATCTATCTATCTATGGTGGACATAGATTATTTTAATCTAGATTAATCTCACTATAATCTTGTGATTAATCTAGATTAAAATCCCTCATTTGAATTCTGCCAAAGAAATTTGTGATATCTGTGTGCTACCTAAATAATAAGAAAAAGTAAGTCTTTGAACAGGTTTCTCTAGCCAGGTGGCGTATTAGACTAGCCTGGGTGCCATTCCGAACTTAGTCCTGCCCACAAGGTTTGAGGTTGGGAAGTTCGGTCTGGCATTGCTCCATAGTAGCGCGAGTATGATCGCCCACTCTCTGGCGATCCAATCAAATTGTCAGGGCGGGCTTTATACGATGATGGACAGTTGATCAACAGTAACGTAATCAACCACGTGACCAAAGCGCGCATGGGTGACAACAACAATGGCTGCCGCTGGAGAGTTGAGGTAAGTAGATTCTGCTATTAGGTCTGTTCTAGAAGATATCGACAGCAAATTAATTTTAAAAGGGGAACAGAGAAACGCGATCAAGGCTCATCTTCTTATTCTAGGCGTGCAACTGCATGCTTTGATTTTTGTTGACAACAATTATGCATCGCTTAACATACTTCACGCACTCCGTTGCTCTTATTGGTTGTAGGTCTATCCAATTGAGTGCAGAGGCATTTTTTTTCCTGGTTCGTTCGAAACACGCCCCATAATCACAGCT